AGGCCAGCCTCCGCGGCGGCCACGGAAACCCGGCCGGAAGGTCACTAATTCAATGAAGCGCGATTCGAACCCCAGTCTGACTCCAAAGGAGCGCTTTCTAGAACCTCCATGGCCCCTATTTCATGGGTTGAGGGGACGCTCAGCCTCCCCCTGGAGGCCTCCCCTTCCCCCCCATTGGTCCCCCCCTCCAGGCTGCCCATGACCCCCGGGTGCCCGGCAGACACCAGCCACTGCGGGATTAAAGGCAGAAGGGAAGACCTCAGAAGCTGAGCACATCTGTGAATGGCCGACAGGAGAGGAGCCTGCCGTCTCGGGAGGGCAACAAGCCCAAGCCTGGGTGGGGCTCAGGAAAAGAAACTGGTCTGTCAGAGGACCCTTCCCAACTGGGCGGTGCCCAGGCAGCCCGTGGGTGAGGACTCGGGTTCAGGCAACTAATTCTATGGGGCCGTCTTCACTCCCCAGCGGCGGAAGCCAGGTGGGAACAGCAGCCCCTGACACGCATGGCCTTGTGTAACCCATCCCCATCTCACAGACGAGCAAACTGAGGCTGCCGCACGTGCCACCCAGAGGCCAACAGCTGGAGGCTACAGAGCTGAGCGGCAAACCCGGCATGGCGCCTTCCTGGGGATGGCGGGTGAAGCTCTCCCAGACTGTCCCCAATGCTGGCTGGGACAGCTCTGCCCGGATCTGGGAACCGGAGGAGCCGCCCTCCAGCCCGAGCCCAGGCGGCAGCCCGGGCCTCAGCCTCCAGCCCGGGCCTCAGACTCCAGTCCGGGCCTCAGCCTCCCTCCGCTCCCAAACACAGCTGACGGCCGGCGATTCCAGCCCTGGGCTGGCTAGCCTCGCCTGGGGACCTGTGTCCCCCGTCTGTGACCAGGAACAAGGCCGCCCCGCCTGCCGCAGGCCCTCCCTGGGCTCCCCGGGCCACGCCAGGCCGGGCACCCCAGGCCGCCGGGCCCATCGGGGCAGCTTTCTGGAGCGCCGTGCTAAATAATTCAAAACCGTGTTTTCATTTCAAAACAAACACGGCAGTGTCGCCAAGGCGAATGCCAAATTCTCACGGATGTTTAAGATAAAATGAGACTTCAAAGAAACGCCGGGCACTAATCCCTCGCCCCGAGCCCCGGGGAGAACAAACTCTCAGTGTCCTGCCCCCTGGGACAAAGATCTGTAGGTGCTGCTCAAATAAGAAACAAAATGTCTTTATGCATAACCCTCTGTGCAGCTCTGTGCAGCAAAGCAAGTCTGCAGAAAATTCTCCCTGCACTAACTGAGGGTGAAGAACCCCGGGTCTTAATTGTTAAATCTCACGCGCAAGCTGTGTGACCTTGAGCAAGTCGCTTAACCTCTCTGAGCCTCAATTCCACCATCTATAAAATGGGGTAATAATAGCACCCACTCGTAGAGTGGTTAGGAAACAAGTCAATCTGTGTCAAGCACAGTGCGTGGCACACGGTGGGTGCTTCACGCGCACCGGGTGCAAGCACGACTGCATTACCCGCAGAATCTTCCAGCACAGAGAAGGGGGGTTTCACTTGACAGGTTGTAAAGTTGGTTCCCCACCTCCAAGTCTCCTCGAAGAATGTCCAGGTGACCTTTCCTGAGCATCGCTTCCCTGGGGGACTGCACACACCTGCCTAAGGGACACAGGTCTTCTAAGCCAGCACCTTCAGTCTGCACCCCCAGGCTCGGCCCCTCTGCGCCCCCTCCCCGGGCGCCCCAGGCAGGAATTGCCAGCAGCTCCTGCCAGCAGCTCCCAGTCTCAGAGGTGCCACCAGGGAAGCTGCTGTTTGGCGTTGGAGCCGTGAAAAGGAAACAGAAGGGAAAACACACAAGTGAAAGCTCCCAACCCCCCCGTCGCCAGAGGCGGAAGGAAGGGGTGCAAGCCGGGCGCCCCTGTCTGCTGTCGCAGAGCGCACCCGGGAGCCCCCTCCAGCGGGGTCACCCGTGGGCGCCACCCCACGCGCCATCTCAGAGAGAAGCACCAACTTCCCCACCCACGCGCCTCGGGTGGGGGCAGGGCGCCCCCTCTCAGCGGGGGGACCAGGCCCGGCATGGCGCCCCCGCACCCAGAGGAGCAAGGGGGGCGCCTGCCAAGGCGGCTGTCGCCTGCACAATGATCTGGCCCGCCAGGCTCAGGCCCCCTGCAGCTCCCCCCCCATCGGGGAGGGGGCGCAGCCCACCCGGCCTGGACCCCCCCCAGGTGGCGAGTGCCATTAACTGGGGGGACGGATCGTGCCAAATGCAGCCCCCGTGCAGCCCACCCGGCCTGGATCCCCCCCAGGTGGTGTGAGTGCCATTAACTGGGGGGACGGATTGTGCCAAATGCAGCCCCCCCCCCGCAGCCCCCATGGCCGGGACCCCCCTCAGGTGGTGTGAGTGCCATTAACTGGGGGGATGGATTGTGCCAAACGCAGCCCCCCCGCAGCCCCCCCCCGCCAGGACCCCCCCCCAGGTGGTGCCAGTGCCATTAACTGGGGGAGAGGGATTGTGCCAAACGCAGCCCCCACGCAGCCCCCACGGCTGGGACACCCCCCCCAGGTGGTGCCAGTGCCATTAACTGGGGGGAAGGATTGTGCCAAACGCAGCCCCCACGCAGCCCACCCGGCCAGGACCCCCCCCAGGTGGTGCCAGTGCCATTAACTGAGGGAGATGGATTGTGCCAAACGCAGCCCCCGCGCAGCCCCCACGGCCAGGACCCCCCCCAGGTGGCGCAAGTGCCATTAACTGGGGGGACGGATTGTGCCAAACGCAGCCCCCGCGGCCGGAGGGGGAGGGGAGGCGCGCAGCCCCAGGAGCGGCCCATCCCTCACCCGGCCTGACAGCCACATTACCATCCGTGCGGACCTATCGATAGTATCGATCCAGCCGGCCGCCCGGCAAACAGCTGGGGGAGGAGGCCGCCCGCGCCGCCCCCGCGTCTGGGCACCGGCCCGCAGACTCCCCGGACACCTGGCGGCGGCGGCGGCGGTAAATTTCCAAGCAGGGACATGGCAGGCGGCGGCGGGGACGCCAGACAGGGATGGGGAGCCCCACCCCGCCCCCCACCCTGCGCTCCGCACTGCCAGACTCGGCCTTCGCGTCTGCTCAATGGGCTCACACCTGCCCCAGCAGCAGAGGGGAGCGGGAAGGACCCCCACACCCCACCCCCGCTTCACCAGACGCCCCCCACTGCCCCACCCCCAGGCAAAGGTCCCGCCCCAGCAGCAAAGGGGAGCAGGGAGAAGCCCCCCCTCCACCAGCCCCCCACACTGCCCCCCCCCAGGCAAAGGTAAGGCGGCCCCAGTTCACGAGGTCTCCAGGCCCCGGATTAAAGGCCAAGTGTTAGAACCCAGAAATAATAATAACACAGTAGTCATAGTAACACATGCAAGTAAGTTTACGCAGCGTCACAGGCAGTTCTCACCGCCGGGGACCGGGTCCTATTTTTACTCTCACTTTGCAGAGGAGAAGCCCGAGGCACAGAGAGGTCAAGCAATTTGCGCGGGGTCACGACGCCTGCAGAGTGGCAGAAGTCAGACAGCAACGCGAGGGGCTGAGTCGCGAGGGGCTGAGTCGCAGCAGGGCAGGCCAGGAAGGCCGCGCCACCCGGCGCCCCGGGCCGCCCCTCCGAAGGCTCGGCCCTCCGCGCCCCTCCGCGCCCCTCCCCGCGCAAGGCCACCCACGACGCGGGCGGCCGGTCGCTCTCCCTGCACGCCGGCCCCTCGCGTCACAGCAGCCGCAGGGACGCAGACCTGGCTCGGAAAGGGCACAGTCAAGGCCACGGATGGCACAGCCCCGCGTGCAAAGAACCCCCCCGCCCCGCCCACAGGGAACCTCTCCCTCCGCTCCCCTCCTCCCCCTCACACATCCTTCCTCCAAATCTGCAAAAAGGAAAAAAAATAATAATGATAATCATAATAAAACCAGTTCTCACCAACAGGGGGAAGGAGGAGGGGAGGAAGGGAGGAGGCTGAGCCGACGGAACAGATCCGCCCCCGCTGCCTGCTCCAGGCCCTCGGAGAGCAAGAGCGCGCGACGCGCGGCGGGAGGACACTCGCTTCCAAAAAACAAGCCTGCGATGCAAAAATAACGCCGGGCGCCCCACGCTAATTGGGCCCGGGCGACGGCGGCTCGCAGGTACAGCGTGTCCCGCCCGCCTCGCCCTCCCTCCCCCGGGCTTTCGCCTGCAAGTGGCCGGGTGGGGAGGGCGCACCCCAAGGCTGCCCGCACTCCCCGCAGCTCTCTGGGGAGGCTGCCCCCAACACCGGGGCCTGCAGCTCCCCAGTGCAGCCCGAGTGGGATCAGCTCCGAATTCCAACTTCCCAAACTAGTGGCATCCCAAGTGTCCGCACGGCCCGGGGGAGGGACCAGGAGGCGGCCCAATGAGGCGTCACCAGTCGCGGGAGGCAGGTCCTGACACCAGGAACACCGGCCCCCAGGGGGAAACGAGGGGCACCTCTCTCCCCAGGGGACCCCGCCCAGCGCCCTCTGGCCCCTTGCCCAGGAGGGGCACCGCTAGCTCCCCCTCCCGGCTGGCGAGCCCCCCCCCTCCCGCGTGCGACCCTCCAGAACAGCCAGGCCAGGGAGCTGGGGGTGCCATCTCCAAGGGCTCCCCAAACCCAAGCTGCCTGCCGGAAAATAAGGCGCAGTGCCCCCCCCAAGCCCGGGGCTGCACCGGAGAAGAAGGCGCGCATGGCGGCCGAGCCCCCAGAGCTGGCGCACAAGGGGGAGGCCAGCCCCACGCATTTCCAGGGCGCCCCCCCCACCGCAACGCCACTTCCCTCCTTCCCGCCCCCTCGCTGGGGAGCTGGAGTTCCCCTAAGTTCCCGGCGCCCCCGAGCACGCGGGCTGCAGCCGACCGGGCGCCCGGCTCCCCGCAGGCCACCCGAGAGCGCTAACTCCGGAGTGCAGGGGCCCGGCCAACTCCGCCGCGTGCGCCGCGCGGTCCTCCCTCGGCCCCCGGAAGCGCGCCCCGCGTCTCCCCCGGCCCTCCGCGGGCACCCTCGGCGCCAACTCACCTCGCGGAGGTGGCAGCGGCGGCGCCCCAGCTCTGGGCGCGCTCGGGCCGCCCGGGCGCTCAGGCGAGTGGCGGTGCCGATCGGGCTGGGGGCGCGCAGCAGGCCCGGCCTCCGGCGGGCCGCGATCCTCCCGCCGCCGCGTCCTAGGGCGCCGGGCCCAGGCCCCCGGCCGGCAACTTGGCGCGCATGGCGGGGCGCAGGGCGCGGGCGCACGGCTCGGGGGGCGCGGCGACGCGGGGCTCGGTGCGGCCCGGCCTTGCCGCGCTCCGCGCTCCCGGCGGCGGCGGCGGCGGCGGCGGCGCGCCGGGGGAGGGGGGCGGGGCGCGAGCCGGGAGGCGGGGCTCGGCCTCCCCGCTCCCCGCTCCCGCCCGCGCCGGCGCGCCCCGGCCCGGCCCCCTCCGGCTCCTTAAAGGGCCCGCGCCGCCTCCCCAGGCCTGCGCGTTCCCGCGCGCGTGCACAAGCCACCCCGCGCGCGCGCGCACACACACACACTTGGGCGCGACGCCGAGTTTCTTCTCGGCAGCTCCCGGAGGAGGAAGGAGGGGCAAAGCGCCTCCCCACCCTGCCCCTGCCCCTTCTCCCGCGGGGTCGGGCCTCCTCCCGGTTCCCGCCCCGGACGCCTCCGTGGAATCGCGTTGCAGCTATTAAATCATAACTCCCGAGCGGCCGGCGGGTGGGGAGGGGCGCACGGGGAGGGCCACGCCAGGGCCTTTGGGGACACATCCAGATGGGCAGGGACACGCACGGCGAGCAGTCGGCGGGCTGCGGCAGACAGGGGGTGCAGGACTGTCGCCGGCGGAACACGCACACCCCGGGCCTCGCCAGGCAGCAGACCGGCCCGGGCGAACGCACTACGCAACTCTCAGCCACCGCGGACCCGAGCGGAGCCTGGGACGGAGACGCAAACAGGAGACCACACGCAGATAAACACGGGGTGGGACGCACGCTGGAACGTCCGCTTCTGGAGGGCAGAGATTTCTGGCTCTCCGTTCACTCCCCCGGCCCAGTAGGGACTCTAGTGTGTCGCCGAGTGAACTCGCACTCGGGGGCATTCAGGGACAGTGCAGCAAGCCTGTGGCCCCCACACAGGGACACATGCAGGGGCGCGCCCACGGGAGCCACGCACGCCCGGCCTGCGCGGGCACGCGGGCACAGGCAAGCGCACGTGTGCTCGTGCCCGTGCACACGCGGACACCCGCTGCTCCGACAGGAACCCAGCCCGCTGGCTGCCCCCACCCCCCTGTGTCCTCAGCCACCCCCACCCCGTCCAAGCTTGCCAGCTCGAACCTGGGGAGACCCCTTCCCACAGCAGAGGGCATGGGAGCCCCCCTTCTTTCCCCTAAGATGTTGGAGAGTTTGTATTTTTTTTTTCAGTTCAACTTTCCTTTTTTGGAGTGACGTCTCAGCAGATTCAGTTCTGCCATCTGCCAACATCTGAGAACCCCCAGGGAGAGCGGGCGGCTGCGGCGGGGAGGCGGCCCTGCGGTTTCCAGGGCCCCGTGCCTGCCTGGGCGCTGGGGGTGCCTGCCCCCCTGCAGCGGGGTCCCTCTCCGCCCCTCGGGCTTTTCGTTTGTGGGGTTTTTTTTGGCGGGGGCGGTGCATATATGGGGCTGACAAAATCTGGAAAAAGGGAAGTGCGTGCGGAGGGGAGCAGTTTGCAGTTTGGAGCAGCAGGGGTCATAGGTCGGTGTCCCCGCCCTCCTCGTTCTGGCCTCGCCGGGCCCGCAGCCCTGTCCAGCCAGGCCATGGGAAGGAAGACGCGTGCAGAAAGCCAGGCCTGCAGGAGGAAGGCCGCGTTCCGGGCCTGGGGGAGGGGGAAGGGCGCCCCTCAGCGGCCCCACCCTGCCCGGCAGCCCACCTAAGTCACCTGGGAACACTCAGAATTTGCATTGCAGTGAGATTCGGCTCTGGGAGTTGGTGCTGGCGATGCCCATTTGGGGTGTCCTCAGGGGTTCCTGGTGCCTCCCAAGGGCTCCCCTCGGGCACCTGAGGGCGGCAGGAAGGCAGGAGGCTGTCAGCTTTGCAATGTCCCAGGCGTCACCTGGAAACTCCTCTCAGGGAGCCAAATGTCCACTCAAGTGCCAATGTCCTCTGAGTGCGGGGAGTCCTGGCTCTGAAACCTCCCAGCCCCCCACGGACTGGGCCCCCGGTCTCCCACGCACTCCCCCCAGCCCCCAATGGATTGGCTCTTCCTGAGCTCCCCATGGACTGGCGCCCCGGCCCCCCAGGGACTCCTCCAGCCCCATCGGACTGGGCACGGGCCCCACGGATCCCACCAGCCCCACAGACTACTGCCCTCCCCTTTAAGCCCCCCATGAACTCCCTCAGCCAGCCCCCCACGGACTCCCCAGCCCCCACGGACTACTGCCATCCCCTGAGCCCCCATGGACTCAGCCAGTCCCCACGGACTTCCCAGCAACCCCCCATTCCACACACACCGGACTCCCCAGCCCCCCCACGCACTGGCACTGCAGCTGCGGCATTGTCTCCCACTGAGCTCCGTGTGGCAGCCCCAGGGACGGATCCAGGGGCAACTAATTGCAACAGCAGCTTTGAAAAACTGCCAAAGAACACTCCGCCCCCAACAGCCTCTGGGGGGGGCCCCCAGCCCCCTGGATTGGGGCTTAGCAATAGTACTAGCTAAGAGCTTCCCAGACTGCTCAACTGCCTTTGTGAGGGAAAGACTTCCCACATACCCGTTTTACAGGAGGGCAGACTGAGGCTGAGTTAGGGAAGTCACTCAAGGACATTGTGGAGCATACTGTAAGTGGCCTGGGTGAGACTGGGACTGGGCGGGTGCATGTCACACACACGGAGGAGGCTCTGCCCCAGGGGCACCAAATTCCACCCTTGGGCTTTGTCTCCACTGTCCCCCTTCCAGTCATTCAGCCCGTCCTTCCTAAACGCTGGCCAGCCCGCCAGGCTTCTCCCTGCCGCAGGACCTTGGCACTTGCTCCGCCCGCTGCCTGAGCCGGCAACCTTCTATCTTCCGGTCCCAGCTCCGTGTCTCCTCCTTAGGGACACTCTCCCCGGTCCCCTGCCTGAAGAAACCCCCAAGGCACTCGCCAGCTCAACACCCTACTCAGTTTCCTCACCACTGATCACCACCTGGAATGATCTGGGGCGTTTGTCACTTACGTACTGTATTTTTGTCACCAGAATGTCAGCTCCGTGAGAGCAGAGACTCATCTGTCTAGCTCACAGCCGCACCCTCAGCGCACAGTAGGTGCTCGGCTCAGTGTGCCCGGAGTGAACGCACAAACGGATGAGCGGCGGGCGGGGGAGGGGGCCGCTGGTGGTCCCTGCGTCTGCGCTGAAAAATCTAGAAACCAGCGGGATGGCCGATCCGCCTCCGGTCTGGCAGCACCTGCTCCGCCGGCACTTCTCAGGGTCAGGCCTCCACCTGTCCCAACGTCGGGGTGGGTGGGGGCTCCCGAGACCCCAGCCTGACGCCTAACGGGGTTCTAACGGGCACCCATGACATCAGATCGGACGTCCAGCCGCTCCAGGGGGCCGCCCCCCAAAAATGCCCCGCTGGGCAGGCCTGGAGAAGCCGGGCATTTCGGGGCTCAGAACTCACGCCCAGGGACGTGGTGCCCGGAGAAACCTCGAACTTTGCCACCCCGAGAGCCCCGACCCTGGGGACGGGCGCAGGGCCCTGTGTCCCCACCCACTGACGCCCCACAAGACACCGAGTGGGCTTCCCTGGGGCCAAGCCTGGCGAGCGCCGCGTCAGCGCAGAAAACCGTGACGTGGGACTTTCATACTTTCCGCGACGTGCTTGGGAACAGAAGCTGCAAACGCTAGCGGCGCGGGGCCTGGCGGGACCGGCCGCCCAGCCGGGGAGAGATGAGAGACTGAGCACGCCTGTCCCGGGGCGCGCCCGTCACCCCTCTCTAAAACCCGGGAGCATCCAAATGCAATAGCAGATGCCCCCAGGCGAGGACGGTGGGCAGTCAGCCGGGGCCACCCGTTTGTGACCCGAGTCCCCAAGGCCAGCTGTGGCCGGGGCGGGAAGTCAGAATCTTCCTCGGTGGAAAGGGGGCCCTTCCCAAAGTGCAGGCAGGGGAGGTGTGGCTGCGTGCTCGCTTCGCGGCTGCGTCGCTCCACGTGCAGGCGTGGTGTGAAGCACCTACTGTGCGCCGCGCACCGTGGGATCAAGCAGCGACGGAAGCACCCTTAGTAGCAGAGAGGACGTGGCACTTGGCGTGGGAAGTCGTCATGGACTCCACGTGCTGAGCAAGGACACTCCCCGGACTGAAGGAAGCAGGCCCCAGGCCAGGCCCGCAAAGGGCAAGGAAACCAGCCTGGCATTCAAAGCCAAGTTCAGTTTCAGGACACGGGGGATTTGCAGGGGGCAGAATCCCCCCAGGCCCCGTTCTCTCTGCCACTGAGGAGTGCCGGGGCCCTCCGATCTCACGGTCCTGCCAAAGCGCCACCCAGAATGTCACTCAGAGCCCCAGCCCGCCCCAGCCCTTGCTGCAAGAAACTGCAGCGTCACTGGCTAACGTCTGAGCCTTTGCCGAGACAGAAGCCGTTTGCATTTCAGAAAGAGCCAAGCACAAAAAGCACAGAACGGTCAGGCCTCTCTGCTGATCTCTGAAGATCAACAACTCACTTTCTTCCCGGGCAGCGCCTTTCTGGGGTGCTGTCCCGCCGGGCTGGTGGGGCGGGGGCACAGAAGTGCACCCTCGAGGGGGGACCCCCAGCCAGGACGGTCCCCGCAGCCCGGCTCTGCTGAGTGGTGACAGTGGGGCCAGCCAGGGGGGTCCCGCCGGCCTCCAGTGGGGCCGTCTGCAGCTGTGAGCAGGTGGCCCCCGGCTGTGCCCTCCTAGGGGGCAGCTGAACCAGGTGCACTGCTTAGCTCGGAAGCAGGTACAGGGCCAGGTGTGCCGTGAGGCGCTTGCTGTGGGGAAAACACGGCAGGGAGGAGGAACTGTGCTTATTCGTGCTTGTCTACGCTGGGAGACTTCTGGAAGGAGGTCCCTTCCGGAGTGCCCACTGCAGAGAGGCTCTGCCCAGGCGGAGGGGACGCGGCAGTGGCAGAGACGGGCGACGTCTCCGCCCTCGTGCAGCGACGTTCTAGAGACGCGTAA